TAAGAATTTATCAAGGACCTAATTGTAGAAGGTAAATAAAAAAATGCAACAATAAGATTCTACTAAGTCTAATAGAATCTTAATTAAATTCTAAGTAATTTTTAATCAATTCAAAAGAAATTTAAAAGAAATTCTAAAGAAATATAAAAATAAAATCTTTAATAAAATAACAATAAGCTAAAAAAATATTAAAAATATAAATCTTCAAAAAAAAATAAAAAAATTCCAAATAAATATTAAAAATAGAAATCCTAAATAAAATCTAAATAAATCATAAATAAATATTAAAAATAAAAATTCTAAATAAAATCTAAATAAATCTTAAATAAATCTTAAATAAATCTTAATTTAATATTAATATATTTTTAATTAAATCTTAATAAAATTAAAATAATTCTAAATAAATCCTAATAAAATTTTAAATATATCCTAAATCAAATCGTAATAAAATCTTAATGAAACCTTGACCAAATCCTAAACTCTAAATCAAATCTAAAATAATTTTAAAAAAATCTTAAGTAAATCTTAACCATTTTTTAAAGTTATTTTAAAATCTCAATAAATATTAATTAAAGAATTGATCTTGATTAAAATTTTAATCACATTTAAATCCATAATTAATTAACAAGTAAAAAAATTTTGACAAAAATCAAACTCACCAATTAAATGAAAAGCTTCCAAAACCTCTCAAATGTTAGCCACTCTTCTTCTCTAATTTGAATGTTGATCTTTCAATAGTATTTATTTCTTATTTAATTTTTAAATTACTTCAAAAACTGGTTGATATATAGATTTTTAAATTTAAATTATTCTAACTAATTTGTGCTTCAATTAAATAGGCAAATATTGTGAGATCGCAAAAATCCTCATTAATCCTAAATTTCAATTATCTAAGACCATAATCCACAAAAATTCTAATAACCATCATTTTAATCATTAAATTAACATCAAGTTATTTAAATATATTTAGGATAAATACATTGGAATTTTTTTAAAAAATTACTCATAAATATGCTACAAAATTTACAAAATCTATAAATTTATTTATTTTATTTTATTTTCCAAAATCCAAATCTATGAAATACATCTTTCATTTTGAAAAGCCTTCCAAACCTCAATATACCTTCAAATCACATAAATAAAACTTTTAAAAATCTTCTCACAAGTCTATTCTCAAATTCCACTCTCTAATCAACAAAAGAACCTTGGAATTGTCATAGAGGCATAGTTTTGTGTCTTAGGGTCTGATTTTGACCTTGTTTCATAATTGATTCTTTTTTAATATTAATTCTTTATATTTTGAAGTGATTTTTTCTAAAAATATTTTTTTAATTCTTTCAAAAAATATCCATTTCAATTATTTATTTCATTTACTTTGATTTGGCTCATTTATGCATTTACAAAATAAATAGAACTCTCTTCTTCAAGGAGTCAATATTAGTATTTATTAATTTTTACTACCTCCTTAATTATTATCTATATTTTTAGGATAATTTACTAAAATATTTTTATTTAAGATCTTCTATAATATAATCTTTTCTTTTTTCTTTCATCATATAGTCATGTTACCACACAACAATATGTTGGTAGCTTATAGTATAAGTTAATAATCAAGCACATATATAGGAAAATTACCTTACAAGTTAATACAGGTGTCTTACAAATTGGACAAGTATTGGAAGTCCTATAGAATATTACTATGTAGCTCTTAATTAGATAGTATATATAGAGGCAAGAGTAAAACCTTCTTCACTCTTATCAATGCCTTTTTAGTTCTTAGTCTTGTTTCAAGTCTTTTTAATCTTCTTATCTTTGATAGTAGCCATTTTAGTTTAATATTATACCATCTTTGAATGATTTTCTAGTCTTTTTGAATGACATAAGAATATATTGAATTTTTAGTCTTTTGAAATTCATGTCTTTAATATCATGTGGCATATATATAAGAAATCTTATAAGTTAGACATGTATCTAGCAAGATAGATACCTATTGGACGTCCTATAGAATGTTGTCATGTAATTTTTAATTACATAGTATATATGAAAGTAAGAGTGAGGACTTCTTCTTTCTTATCAATATCTTTCTTATTTTTAGTCTTATTTCAATAGTCTTTGGTCTTCTTATCTTTGATAATAGTCATTCTTGTTTTAATATTGTATTATTTTTTATTGAATATATATATATATATATAGAAAGAGAGAGAGAGAGGTTTTTATTAGTTATAATTCATATCTTTGATGATGAAGGAATGTAAATAATATTTTTAGAGGAGTATTACATAGATCCATGTTTTTATTAAATATATCCAGTTTTAATAAAAAAAATATATAAAAATCATGATGAATGTGGTTGATTTTTATTAGTTTTAAATCTAATAATGGAAAAATGAATCAAGAAATTATTATTTTTTATATATTGGTTAAGATAGGTAAATTGATTTAATAAAAATTTGGAACTATTTAATATTATTTTATTTTTATCTTATACTATAAAAACTTAAAGTTACAAGATTACATATCAAGATGGAAAAATATCTATTTTATATAATTTGAATAAAAATATTGAGATATTCTATCTCAAATAATAATTTTTTAATAGATTTTTAAAAACTACAACTTATTATAGATTAAGAAATTTTAAAAATCATATGTGATGTTCCATATTTTTTAAACTTACAAACTATCATCAAATATTTATTAAGAATTATTCTTAAATTCTAATTACGCTTCCAAAACTAAGTTATAAAAATAAATTATTGTAGAATCAAGATATAAAAGTAGCATTTAAGGTTCAAAAATTGCTTCTACATCAATTCCTATTTTATATCATTGAAATATTTTTAAATCAATTTTTAAATTAAAAAAATAAATAATATTTTATTTTATATATATTTTTATTACAAATAAATGCAAATTTTATTCTATTGTACCAAAATAAAAAAATACAAAAAAATATCATTAATTCTCTTAAAATTAAAAAACTTCGTCTTTGAGTTATTAAGTAAAAAAATAAATTTATATTATTTTATATAATAATTTTTTTTTAAAGATGTTAATATATTTTCTTATTTTTATGTTAAAATCATCAATTTTAATGATTTCTATAAAAGATATTTATATAATATAGAAGATCAAGTATAAATACTTGCACTTCCAACATAACATGATTTTTTAATAATGTGATATTTTTTAATATAAAAAAATTTAGAGCTTATTTCAAGATGTTTTTGGTGGCATCAAATGAGGAAGGTTGTTTAAGCATTTGTTCAATCTTATGACACCTTTTTATTTTGGGAAGACTATATATTATTAATTCTTTAGACTTCAACTTTTATATATTCTAAAAAAACATTGGTCATGTATTTCAATGGACTTCATCACATATCATTTACTTTTAAGTTTTTATAACTTTATTTTTGTGATTGTAGTTTTTTTAAGTTAAAATGACACATTTCATACCATATACAAAAATTATAATAATTGAAGAAATAACTAATCTTTTCATTTTTAATAATATATGAATATATTATTTTTTAATTTTTGGCTAAATTAATATTCTTGATACAAGGATCTATTCTAATTGACCTATTAGACAAAATACCATTTAAGAAGATTAAGAAAGATATAATTTGATAAAACCTTATGAAGTCTTTTATTAACCTTTGATATTATATTGATGAAACAATCAATTAGTTATTATAACTAATTGGACTAATAATACATGTTACTACAAAAAGATGACAAAGACTTATTATACATAAGATCTTAGGTCCAAACTTTAATACTTAGATGTAAGTAGGTACAAAATTCCTTAAGTTGAAAAGATCTTGTCATTTTCATCTTTCATTTATAAAAAAACTTATTCATTATCTTAAATCATAATTAGATTGTTGCATCTCTTATTGGATATCAATCTACAAATATTAATCCTAAAAATAATTTTTCTTTTATTAAAATTAATAAGCTATAATTAGAATTTATATAAAGAAAAATTTTTATTTATTATTAATTTTGAATCAAATTGCATATAACTTAATTTTAGTAGAAAGAATATAAGGACTTAATTTAAATCAAATAATAGAACTAATAAAGAAAGTATTTCAAAAAAATTCTTTATCTACAATTAATTTGAATAAGATTCTAAAGTAAAGAATAGCAATAATAACAATAGTGGTAATTCTTCCAATTATTGACTTTAGTGGTTATTTACAATATTTCAATTATTAAAAATTAATCAGCTTTCTATTAAAGGCTACTTATTTTCTTGTCCTAAATTGTTCTAACTTGAACTTCAAGATGTTCAATTTTTATACATTAAAAATAATAAAATAATAAAATAAAAATCTTTGACTTTTCTATAACTATTTAAAACCTAATGGTCTCATTCTTATTTAGATTGAATATCTCCTACCTATCTTTTATTAACTAAGTCCTATCAATTCTTGAACTCTCCATTGGATCAAATTTTTCAAATTGCCCTATGTTAACATCTTTTTATTTACATCATATATCTTCTTGAAGATTTAATACATATAATAGTTGATTGACAATATTAGCTATATAACTACTATATAGCTACTATAGTTGTCATGCATTTCTTACTATTAAATTCTTACTATTTGAATCATGTTCTATTAGAACTTGTACAAATTAAACAACTGCAATTGAAAATTACTAAAAATGAATTGATATTTAAAATTTCTACATTTCACTCATTAACTAATGGATTTTTAATTGATGCAAAATTTGTCAAACATTACTCTTATCTACAACCAAATGACAAAAACATCACTTATAAGGTGCATTGCGTAGAACTCTCTCTAGAACTCTCTCTAAACTAATGTGGTGCTCTATTAAAAAAAACTTAAAAGCAACTAAAACTACAAAGATCCACCAAACTTAATGTAATCCCATACAATAACTAAAATATTTGACATACCTTGGTAGAGATTTCCTTATGATTGCCAAGCACTAGCATGTTTTAATTTCATCAATATTACTTCCAATAATTTAGTTCTTGATATGATATCCCATCGAAACTTACATATGAATATTCAATCAAGCTTTTTATTTTGAAGTAGAGAATCCCTTGCCAATGAAGGAAGATCGTGCCATTCATTTGCTGATGTATTGTCAAGCTTGATTAGCTGCCGGACACTCCCACTTTAGTCAAGGTTTTCCTAAGTCCAAAACATGAATCCCTAATTTGTAAATAGCTCTACGTCATCCTGACCAATACATAATCCAATTTGTAGACCTCTCAAGGTGTCCTCGTAGTCATCTAGTCTAATGCCCTGCTTTTCCCATACACACTCCGAAATCCCGAACGTAATAGACGCTTACTAGACCCTCAGTCCGCGGCGATAATGCAGCACAAATTCACAAATCCTTGAGAGTGGAGTAGCTGATAGCCATAAGGCCTGAAAGAGAAAGACAATCGTCAAGATCAAACATCCTTTTCTTTGTCCTACAGTCAAAAACAATAGGAGCACTTTCATCACTCTCAACAGTGTGTTACTGGCTACATAGACAAAACTGGAATGCGTTGCACTCCACAATTCTGGCTAGGAGTCATGGGCATCAGCTCCAAGGACTTCCCCAACCTTCTCACAACGCTCAAAAATCACAATACAACCTTTTTCCGTCCGCATCTATCACCAGCTATAACACAGTAGGCCCCTTTGTTATGTACATGCTTACATACCTCTGAGCCATTCACAACAGCTCCTTTCGCTAGACTTCTTTCTGTGCCAGAAAAACAACATGCATTCTAATAGATCGAGGACTTCTAAAACAGTAGGTTAGAATGTACTCTTTTCTGCAAGTCTCTTGCCAGCGGGTGCACAGGAGAGAAAAGACACATGGTCGTTTTAGGTCGGATTGGCCGCGTTCGGTGCAAAGCAAAGTTTTCATCCAGTAAGAGTGACGGGGTGCCTTCATCAACAATGTTCTGTTTCACACAAAACTCTTCACCCCGATACTTAAGACCACTCAATTTCAACGATGGAAAAGAGACATGGACAAAACCAACGTCTTATTACAAATACCAAATGAAATCCATCTTCTGCAAAAAATACCTATGCACTTTCCACAACCAGCTGCAATGCTGCAAAACTCCGAGATGTGACTCTTCTTCAGAAAAATCCAGCTCAGGCATACCTCAACACGTCACAAATCCACGCATAGATTCTCTCCACTGCAACCTACAAAGCCGCAATTCTTGCAGTGAGCTGCAAATGTCCTTCTCAAGACCCTAAACTCAACACATTAGGGCAGTATTATTAATCCACCAATTTGGGCACTTCTGTGGCCCAAGTACTCACCTCATCATTAACATATGTTTCAAGCGTCCACCATGAGCTATCTCCACATCCCACCAATTGCAAGACCTTCAAGAATTCTAGTAAGTGGGGTTTGAAGCCTTAGTGCTCTCACCATTCCAGCCTCATTCCGAGACGACATTACTTGATACCCCCCCCGCCACAAATTTAGAAAAACCCATATCTAAATCACTAGTGCCATAGTGACACACAGTCGAACACGACCACCAGCCGTTTTGAAATCTGGAACTAACATGGCAATTCTCCCGTATACTCCCAAAAAAAAGAATAGACCAAAGAAAAACATGAGCAGCGACAGAGTAAAAAGCAAATTGCTAACTAAGCGATCACGCAAGGGCAACATCAGGGGTGGACTAGGAGACCGCTAAAGCAAGCGGCAAAACGGATGAAAGTATAGATCGTTCGTTATTGGACAGAGAGGAGATGAAAGGAGACCGACCATGCAAGGGACTTGTTGGCCGCTAAAGCACACGGGAATGGATGAAACAATAGTTCATTCGTCAAGAGGCTGAAAGTGGATGAACGTAGAGCGAGGCCCACCGTGAGGGTTGAACGGTGAGAACCTGACGCTTGCTTCCCCGTCGAAGCCCTATTTGCAAGCCCTAAGGAAGCTCAATCTCTCAAGGTGCGACGAGATTGTGAGGGATTGAAGCTGCAATTTGGTTGTGTAGAGGGAGATATTGATTAGAAGGGAGAAGGATTAGTGAAGAAAGGAGCACGAATATCATGGCGCTCAGCATGAACGAGGCGGATATCTTTGGAGACGAAGGCATGGACGAGCTGGCAGGGATGAGCCCGGAAGATATTCAACGCAGAAGTCGTCTGCTCGAAAACGAGATCCGTGTCTTGAAGGTTTTTTCTGCGCCTTGAGTATGGCGCGCCTGGTTCATGGTTGGATATGTATGTTAGTCTGAGGTCTTGCTGGGGGGGTGTAGTAGCATGGGGTTGTGTCGAGGTGTGAATTATCAATGATCGGATGGGTGGGATTGGATTTCAGGACGAAACGCACAGACTTTCACTGGAACACGATGCTACGAAAGAAAAAATCAAGGAGAATCAAGAGAAGATCAAGCTGAATAAGCAGCTGCCTTACCTTGTCGGAAACGTAGTGGAGGTGTGTATTGATTACTTTTACCGATTTTCGGAAACATCGGTTGCCGTTTTCAGGGAGGCGATGTGCAGTTTGAGGACCTTTTGCGGTTCGAATAATGCTAATTGAGCAAGTTCTTTCTCATCTTAGGTTTGACGACGCTGGTCATCAAACCTAGAATTTGTTTTAAGGTTTCTAAAATTTTAAAATAGATTGTAACTCAGAGGTCGCAAACATTGGAGGGATTGTACAATATTTGGTGTAGTTTTTGGAGAAACTTTCAAATGCGTTACATCAGGATGTGCCAAGTAATATGCTACGTTTTGTATTTGGCGTACTTTTGGGTTTGTGCAGATCTTGGATGTCAATCCAGAAGATGAAGCCGAAGAGGATGGAGCTAATGTTGACTTGGATTCTCAGAGGAAGGGCAAGTGTGTTGTCTTGAAGACATCCACACGCCAAGTGCGTACTCTCCACAGAACAACGCCTTGTGATTAGCTTCTGCAGCTTATAACTCTTTCTTAATCAATCGATTTAAAAAAAAAAAAAAAAAAAAAAAAAAAAAAAAAAAAAAACTCTAACATTATTTTTGGTGAACATACAGACGATCTTCTTGCCTGTAGTTGGTCTAGTGGATCCTGACAGCTTGAAACCCGGTGACTTGGTTGGAGTAAACAAGGACAGTTATCTAATTCTGGATACACTGCCTTCGGAGTATGATTCGCGTGTAAAAGCTATGGAGGTTGATGAGAAACCTACAGAGGTGTACTCGGATATTGGTGGTCTGGATAAACAGGTGTGATTGTCGTTTTAGAGTTCAAATTTCCCGCTGGGTTCTTCAATATCATCTACACAATCTATTCCATATGAGTGTCTTAGTTCTGGTTGAGTTTTTTCATCTCATTCATATAGGACAAATGTCGGTAATTACGAAGAGCTCGATTTTTGCAACACTGACTAGTGGGGATAATTATTGGTGTTGGTCTTTCTTCCAGCTTCTCTTTGCTTCATGTGCTTTCATGCACTGGTCACCTGTGTTGACTTGTTTTGTGTTTGCTGTTTGTTGTAAGTGGAGCTTTCAGCGTGAAATTATGTATTATACGTATCGCTGCCCGCACCACCTTAATTTCTTAAAGCCACTTGTTATTCTGTTTGTATGACAGATTCAAGAGTTGATGGAAGCAATTGTTCTTCCTATGACTCACAAAGAACGGTTTGAAAGCTTAGGTGTCCGACCTCCCAAAGGAGTGTTGTTATATGGCCCACCCGGTACTGGCAAGACCCTCATGGCTCGTGCGTGTGCAGCTCAAACAAATGCTACTTTCTTGAAGCTTGCTGGACCTCAGCTTGTTCAGGTTTTGTCCTGCTCTCTCCTTAGTGTTTTCTTCTGGACTGGATTTTGTATTTTCAGCTTTTTGAGAAACATGTACAGAATCTCACTGTAGAACTTGTTTTAAGAAGTTGGGTCATTCACTTGGCTAAGCTCAAGGCCCTTGTTCTCCTCCTGATCGTTGCAGATGTTCATTGGAGATGGTGCAAAACTTGTGAGGGACGCGTTTCAGTTGGCGAAAGAAAAGGCTCCTTGTATCATTTTCATTGATGAGGTGGATGCTATTGGTACCAAGCGTTTCGACAGGTTTGTGGTGTTCTTTTTAGGACCTGCATGCAACGTTTATCTTGAACTATTTCTGGAAAAAAAGCATATTGAAATTGGTGATTTACTGACAATATCATGTGTAATTTTTCTTCGCTTTGCGTTGGCAGTGAAGTAAGTGGTGATCGTGAAGTACAGAGAACTATGTTGGAGTTGCTTAATCAGTTGGACGGTTTTAGCAGTGACGAGCGCATAAAGGTGAGCTGTGAAGGATTTTTGTCATTCTACATTGTATGTAGTTAATTGTTTTCCAAATGTGCGGGTGGCTCTGCATGTTGATATTGTATATGATTGGGTACAGATTTGCTTAACAAGTTTTCACTTGTAATCAAAAGAATACGACTGGATTTTTCTTAAAGATAATTCAGTCTTTTTTAGTTGAGAATGTCGTGATATTTTGTGATATCTGTAGTGTGGGAAACATGAGGCTGGATACCACGGCATTCTCTGCAGTGTTATTTAGGGCAGAAATTGTTTTCTGTACTTGTCTTAATATAGATGCGCAATATGTAAGTTATCTCTTTAATCAATGCCTCTGGCCATGTGTTCGACTGTATGTCCAGTTATACTACGGCCATTCATGATATCAACAGTGTTTGTTAATGAACTCTCTGTCATATGGTCCATGAACAGGTAATAGCAGCTACAAACAGAGCAGATATTTTGGACCCTGCTTTGATGCGTTCTGGACGTTTGGATAGGAAGATTGAGTTTCCTCATCCAACGGAGGAGGCACGAGCTCGTATTTTGCAGGTTCGGATAAACAATAGCGCTTGGTAGACTTTGAAGTTTGCATAATCCTGTACCCCTAACCTAACCATGTTTTCACCTATTGTTTTACTGTTTGATCCTTCTATAATTATACCACCTATACAGATTTTTATGAGCAGGATATCTTATCAATCACTGTAATGAACTTTCACCTCCAGATTCATTCAAGGAAAATGAATGTACGGGGTGATGTCAACTTTGAGGAGTTGGCCCGTTCCACGGACGACTTTAACGGAGCCCAATTAAAGGCTGTATGCATTGAGGCTGGAATGTTGGCACTTCGTCGTGATGCCACTGAAGTAAGTCATATGAGGGCTTTTTTATATTTCCAATATTTACTTGGTTATTTATGGAATGCACTCATCAATTGATGCTTGTAGTAAAGTTCATTATTTAACTTCTGGTTCGGAATGTTGTAATTCACTGATAGCTTCATCTTGGTTAGGTGTTCATCACGATATCCGCTGCTGTGTCAATGTTCTATGGTTTGTAGTGTTCTGATGGCTTATTCAATAAAATTGAATTGGCTGTCTGATCTTCTGCTTATCTCTTCAGAATATAGCTATGCGATGCCCATTTCTTTTCCTTCAACGTATTTTCATGACCAAAACCCCGCATCTTTTTATAGACATGTATCTGAAGTGTCATCCATTAGAGTGTCGATTAGTGTTTTCTAAACAAGTGAAAACAAAGGGAGCAAAGGTAGTTCGTTATCCTTTTCTGTATTGTTTATATTTGGTATGCCACAGAAACACATCTTTATTTTTGGAGGCTTCTACACACTATTGACTTTTATATGTTATGCTACAGGTAACTCATGAGGATTTCAACGAGGGTATCACTCAAGTACAAGCTAAAAAGAAAGCCAGTCTCAATTACTACGCATAAACATTAGTCCTCAATGTCTTGATATTTGGCTATCTATATCTGAACTTCTTGAGATTTGTCAGTTTGGAACAGTGGATGCAGCAGAGGTTTTTACCTGCCCTTGTAAATGAGCCTGTAATCAGTTCCAGCGAAATGCTGCAGAACTTATCTCATCTGCACAGGACTTTCCAACTCTATTGTTTTATTGGAAAATACACCTGTATCTAAGCCGTGTGATGCTCATTTTGAATTGTTATTTCATCCCTTGTTTTTCTTTTTATGATGACTATTAGCACCAGTCATCACAAGATCCTAGAAATTTGTGACCAGAATCAACGGTTTGTATAGCATTTTGTTGTGTGCACACCTTCACCAAGATCGGTTCCTTTTTATTTGATTTTGTACTCATGGAGCGTACCTTAACTTGAAGAAGGATACAGGTTAGGGCTTGTGGAATCTAGAGGTTCTGTTTTTAGATCTCTTATAACTTACACATTTCAAGTTGAATCTAAGATAGATACCCCGAATAAACATATTTTTACGGCATATTCGTTAATGGAAGCTTTTGTTGCACTTTACATGAATGTCACAAAAAGTCGTAAGCCCTGAAAATATCTGATGTACCAACTATGAGAACCTTATTGTTAAGGTCAAGTAGGTTAAGCATATATTCTAAGATTCACTTTGGAATGTCATGGTTTGGAAGTCTTTTGAAGGTCATCCATTTGGTGAAGAAAACATTTTCTTTGTAAGATTTGGATTTTGTAGATATTACGAAATAAGAAGAGCATATGAGATGAATTAAACCATTTTTTTATAATGTTTTTAAATAGGATAGATTCAAATGATTATGATAAAAATAAAAAATAAATTGAATTTTTGAAGAAGGAATTATCAATTTTTTATCAATTTTTGGTATACCTCAAGTTTATACAAAAATTAACTTCTTGAAGAGGGCTCAATGCAAAATCTTAGGAACTATATTATTCATGTTACAAAAGACAATATAAATTATATCTCTTACAGTTTTTAATTAGTTTTTTGAAGTGTAAAGTGAACCAAGGGAAGATTCTTGATTTCAGCTTGTAACAAAATTTGAAAGTTCTAACCTATTGCATGTTTTTTTACACATAAAGTCTTTTTTGCTATTTGATGAAACTTTCACATGACATGTGGCAAGCCTCATTCTTTTGTGTAAAGCTGTAATGTTCAAGATAAAATCTTCATCCCTACAAATATTTAAAAATCATCTCCATTTGTAAAATACAGTTGTCTTTCTTTTACATCCATATTCATAAATTTAAAGAATCTTGATTCCATTCTTTTGTGTACAAATCATCCAATACATCATTTAATTATAAAATTATTTTGGCAAGTAAGAGTGCACAAAATAAGGCATATAAAACATCCAAATCAGTATAAAGTAATTTAAGACGTCAGCAATAGATTTTTTTAATAAAATCTGATTATTCTAAATATTACTATCTTATATATATATATATATATATATACATACATACATACATACATATATTATTTTGATTTTAGATTAAGTTAAGTTTGTGAAAATAAAAATTTTAAAAGAAAAACACATAATTGAATTTTATATAAAGCATGGCCGAATTTGTTCTTGTTTAACTTTTAACAAGTTTAAAATTCTTAAAGTATTCACTTTGTTCAAATCACATACCTTTTTAACAATTTTTTTCATTACAACTTTGACCTTTAATATGTTTAATTTTGCATAATATATTTAAGGGACTATCATTTTTTATAAGTATATTTTTAATATATATTTTTTATTTATTTAAAAATTAAACTATATATTTAGTAAATATTCAAATTAAAAATCAAAAATAATAATATTCAACTAATTTAACCGACTTTTAGAACAAAATATTCCTTTAATTGTACTATACTATATACTATATATTAGAATATTTATTTTTTATTCTATACCATATATAATACAAATTTAGAATAACTTTTATAATAACCTGAATTTTAAATTTATATATATTACTAAATATCATTCACTTAATATATAAAAAATTCAACATTCATGCTTAAATTTTAGATGATAGAAAAACTTTTGTGTGTTTTTTGGAATATATATATATATATATATATATATATATTTATATTTGATGAAATAAGAATATCATTACAATCATGTTGATTAAAGTTAAATCACTTATAATAAAATGTCCACAATTATAATCTACAAATAAATTGTAAAAGCATGTTTCATTTTTGAACAAGTGTAACACTTTCAATGTTAACTGTGATGAGTGTTTTCTTCTTTTGTACAATACAAATATATTAATGGCAAAGCTATCCAATATTGCTTTACTAATGATATCATGAAGACAAGTTACAAGCACACTCCAAGTTGCTATGTGCTTAGCCATTACATCACACCCAAGGCCTCTCTTCCTTGTCTCGGCAGGGTACTAGACCTCCTCATCTTCCTTGTCTTGGTGTAGGTTTTAATCCCCTCGTCCCCTCTTCCTTGTCCCAGCATGGATTCCAAACCTCCTTCCTCTCTTCCTTGTTACCATCATTCAATCCTTTTGAGTTACACCAACACAATTCAAAACTTCTCTTTTAATCCCATGTAAAACAAAGTTGTGGGTGTGTGTATAGACATAATGGTTGTGTATACAGACTTAATGGATGTGTGTATAGCAATTTGAGGTATATAACAATTTATGGTGTGATTGTAGTTTGAGCATACGATTAATGTGTTGTTTTAGATGAAGTCCAATGTTATAATTGTTAGAGGAAAATCACAGTGGGCCGTTAGTTTTTGAATGAGTGTGTGAGAATGGAAAACATAAAGACTCGACTTAGAATCCTTCCTTCACTGCTTTAGAAACAAGGGTAGAAATTGATGGTGCTGGGAGTGCTCTCCAAGAATCAAGACAGTCGTTCGATAAGATGTTGCTGGGCGGCAAACCTGAAGCTGGCTGTGGTACAGTTTCGAATCCAGCGCCAAATACCATTTCAATGCCTCCCATGTTCTCAATGCAAACCTATGCTCAGCATCACTATTCTAACAAGCCTCAGCTTGCATCCCGTTCCTTGTACACCATCGCTGGCGCTCGTTCCTTTTGACTCTAATGCCTCAAACAAATTTCAACAACAAAGCTGCAAAGTGACAGTACCTTACTTTCTTCGCAGAACTTCAACCTTCTCACTGATTTGACCGGAACAATTTCCAGCTATAGCAGTCCATGCATGTCGACCATAAACGTGAGTTCATTTCTCCAGAGGGTGGTCACACGAAGAAGTTCCTGCACCAATCTGCACAGATTCACGTTCACCAAATCCTCATTGACCCAAATTCTTCAAAAGTTAGTGACGTAAACCAAAAGTCATTTGCCAACCTGGTTCATGAAAAGTACCGTACCATGAATCTATTCGAGATATCAGATTTCATTGAATTGAATCCTGTGTCTGTAGATAAGCACCCAAATCGGTTTTTGAACCTTAGCAGTTTGAAGTGCACATTAAGAAACCGTTTTAGAATGCGAATCCAGCGGAGTCCAAAACCTGTCGTCACAACAGGCTATAAAAGATTCCCGGACCAATCTAGATTTGCTCGACAACGTGAATGTAAAATGTACATGAAGGTTGAGAATTACACATTTCTCTATGTAATTGAGCACTAATGACCCAACGTCGGAGGCATATAACATAAACATTTCCAAAAAAATGTACAAAAGCTCTGTGTGCTGAACTATCGCCAGGCTGGATGAGGTTTGACGCTGTCAATTGCTAGTCTCACGTCCTAAAAATTGTACTCCGTTGCAGTCCTTCCTGAGACGAAATTCATATCATGATTTCTAAGATCTGGATACTCATGGCTGCGAAACGGTATTGATAATCAATGAGTATGACCAAATAGCCTTCACATGACGCTGAGCTCAATGAAGGTAACTTGTTCACAGCTGATACCAAGTTTACATCACGACTGCACAGCCTATCCGACAAATATAGTGTTCTGAACAGAACTACACTTGGGTCTAGAAGCAGATTTCTGGTAACTTCCTTAAAATGGAACAACAGCTTGTGACGACCAGTGCGACCAGATTCCATAAGTCTGAAGTTCTTAAGTTTGTAAAGAGTAGCACTTCCACACGTGGAAGGAAAATTGGAAAGACCCTACATAGCTTCTAACATTGACGCAAAGTATGCTTTTCTCTACGGTCATATGTACACCAGTAAACTCTATGTAGCCAAGCCTGACCCTGATCCAGTGTGACTAATCCCCAGAAGCATAAAAAGCTAAAACTTCAATCCAGAGTACCAGAAATGTACACGGCGATTCTAGGAACTGTTGTCTGCCAACTGTGACCTTCGAATGCCCCAAAAAGCCTTCGGTCTGGTTTCCTTAGCAACAGCTGTGAATCGCCATCCCATGTGCTCAGTACATGCAGAACACTCAGCTAAAACCCAGGCATACCTGCAACCCAATGCAAACACATGTTTTAAACAGCAATCACACTATTTCAAGAGATTATCTCTGTTTCATGTGTTTGGGCAAAAGAAAGTCAGTAGAAGCAGTGAACAGAGCAGGCTTCGATGCACCAACCACGATTCAACTTGAGCTCATGGTAAGTCGCAATACGTTACGAAAGTAAACATCCATAGAAGCGACAGCTAGTACACGATAAGTAAGAAGTATTTCTCAAGACCATTCTGACCATCATTGTCAAGAGTATCCAAAGGTAGCATTTCTCGTATGAAAACGACGTCCAACATCCACCAAATACAAAACACAGAGGATCAAGACATTTTCGAAAGTGGAGATGACTGACCCAGGAAACCAGCTGTTCGCCGTCTGGGGCTGTCCAGCCAAAACGAGCCTACTAGCACGTTGCAAAGTGAGGGTCTCATGAACATAGCCATGGGCGTTGACAAAAGCACTGATGGGCCCATCTGCTGACATCACAAGCATGTCACTGCGCCTTGCTTTTATATCCTGACAACACAAAATTACCAGTTAGACAGCTGAATTGATCCTCCAAGCGTCCTCACTGCTAAAGCTCCACATGGTACATTCCAAAACCCAAACTGAGTATCTACATAATGGATTATGAACTACCACTTGCGATGCTCATCTATTAAATGACATAGGATCTACAAAGTTGCTTCGGCTCTTCTTCAATCCGAATCATTTGTAGATGTAATATTCTTGGAACGTGCGTATATTGCGAGGAATATATTTTTATTTTTATTTTTATTTTATATATTTATTTATATATTTATATTTATATATGAAAACTTATTAACCTACCAAGCATCGTTTACAGCGAAGCTGGTCCATTGACTCCAACAACTCAATCTCCCGTCGCAGACGATACACGGTCCCGTCAACTTCAAGAAGCTCCTGCCGGGTAGCATCTTGAAGAGGCATATTGCTGGCTATGTAATAAGACAGCAAAGAAGGTGTACGAACCATAGCCTCCATACGAGGGAGTTCGGCCATTTGCCTCAACATGTCTGTCAAACCCACCCACAAGTATAGCACACCATGGTTGAAGAACAGGAAGGACCAATGCCAAGACACATCCACAACGCAACAAAATTATTCGTATGCCCCCTCACACCTAAAACCCAAAAGTCTCGGTGATGGTTTACTTGCAGAGAAAGAACCCCCTAATTATTCCTGCTGCAAAAATATTGGCACCATAGACCGCGAAACCACATGAGGTGCGAGCATACCAGCAGCTCTCCTTGCCAAATCATACGCATCAAATTGGCGATAGACCCAATGAGGCCACGCTGATCGCTGGGCCCTATACCTCCACTTCCCTGCATCAGTACCCCAGGCTTTACAACAGCCACCACGTCCACCTTCGGGAGGCCTTTTCATGTTATCCGCATGTCCGTTCGAAACCACAGACGACTCTCCAGGATACACACGTCGTCCATTGCTATGTGATGCATCAACTGTTTGTGTTTCCCCACTTGATTGAGGTTCTTCACCTCTATCGTTTCCTACCTCAAAATTATCCACGCCTCTTTGGCGAACTCTTCTTCTTCGTGACCACCATCTCAGCCTTTCCTCCTCCTCGCTGCTCTCATCTTCTGCCACCCCTCTTTCCAGCGCCCGAAGAAGTTCCGTACTCTCAGTTGCAAATCGTGTAAGCCTACACAGCAAAAAGGACGTCCGTCAGCATGATTTCACTCCTAAGATGTGTTACAACATGCCACTTGTGACATTCTTTTGAAGTGGATTTGTAAATCATGCCCTTACGGACAAAAATTAACGAAATCGCTTTTTAATTTTGTAAAGAATTCACAGGTTCCAATTCTCAGAGTTCATCAGAGATAATATTTCATTATATTTCGATGAAATTGAGAACAACTGACTAAAAATCTAGAATTATTATTATGTTAGGGAGCGCCAACAACATTCACATCTTGTCTTGTAGATATCGATACTGACTTTCTGTTGAACAAACTTTTATAAGAAAGGAAAATCTGAGGTCCTGCCACTTCAGGGATAGTAGCAACAAAACAATTAGGAATTTCACACTTTATCTTTTTGAAGATGGTTTCTAACCTGTAAATGTACTAGTTGGGGAAAGGAAAGCAAAAATAAAATAAAATAAGAAAACACGAAGAGGAAAACAATAAAACAAAACAAAACAAAACAAAACAAAATTAAAGTTAAAAAATTCTCTAGTTTTAGAATTCATACATGCTCGAAATTTGAATTCTAAGAAATTTTTAGCTGCAACACCCTTCAGAGACTCAAGGCAAGAAATTCGCTACAATAATCATACTGGACATTGAAGCAATGATTAATTGTTCTTAACTATGAACAATGATTGGGTGTCTTCAATCAAGCACCAATATCATTTGCAACAAAATGTTTCAAATTCCATAGTGCTTTCTTTGAAAATCAGAACTAAAATTGAAACCAAAAGGGGAATCGAAAGAGTTATGAACATTGTACCCAGCACTGACCTTCGCAACAGCCTATCTTCTTCAGGTCCAGAATCCGACTCTGAATCATCATAATCGTCAGCATCAGCTTGGAGACCTGCTTCATCATCGCTATGCTCGTATGGAAGTGGAGATGTAGTAGCTGCACGAGGAACTTTGCCACTGTGGAAAGTAGGTACTGCGGCTAAATGACTGAATGAATCTCTTGGAATATGCAGAGGAGTTTCCTCTTCAATAATTTGAACTTGAGCGAACAACTGCAAACACGCGAGTCCAAATTGGTAAGTTGCTGTAATGATAAGTATATTGTAATCAATATACCTGAAGTTATAAGAGAACATAAGTACCCAAAACATAAACATCTACACTTTTTTCTTTTTCTTTTTTGGTCACGTTACATCCTCGAATATTGACATTAGTAAATGTCCAAGATTTGACACAAACAAAATCTATAATAAAGGAAACAATAATGACTCGAAACCTAAATACTACTGAAATTGAGGTTTCGAAGCTCCTAAGGGTGTAATAGGTGACCTTCAACAGCAACAATCCACTAAAATGCTCGTTCACGATGGAAAAGTCACAGAACGCCCAATGTAGAGTGTCCAAAATAGAAATATTAAACGAATACTCAGAGGCAATTGATTCAAACGTCATACACTTAACTTATCGTACAAACAGTGGCAGACGAAAAGTGAGAAAAACACGTACTGCTCCATCAGATTCAGTCCACGCTTTGCAAATGCGGAACCGTTGGCGGCCTTTCGTTACCACATTTATGGAGCCATCATTAAGATGGCGTAGTTGACGAATCTACAAAATGGATCCCATAATATCATTAAAGTTTTAACACTAGAACAAAAGTAAAACTAGCTTCAAAAATAGTAATGGACGATGATGTGCCAAATTAACAGAAACGATGACAAAAGGCAATGCATCATACCAAGATGATGGTTGCATGACAAAGTAACGAACATGCTCCGCAACTTAATTACACTTACTTCGGCAGTCGTGCCGATGGATGCAACATGGACATGCCCATCTCTTGCTCGCACATGTATCACACCAATTGTATTCAAAGCCTCATCATTCCGCATAGCTCTATCTACTGCAGCCTTGAATCTCGGTTGCAGAACTCGAAGCGGCAGTGTATCCTCAGGGAATAACACTATCCCTACATGTGTCAGAACCAATCCAGAACATCAGACTCCTCAGGGCAAACTAATTGTACTTCTTGAACTGCCGTTACAATCGTGATTCACAGAGAAAAAAAGCCCTTAATCCACAAAATTCATCAACTTACCCTCTAGGTAAAACATTGGCAGCGTGAGGAGCGCACCGCCATCGGCAAAGGAGCGACTACTATGTACGTCATCGACTTCTGCGATAAGATACAAATAAAAGTTCGCCTGAGAAATTGAGTTATTACGCATTGAATATAGCTTTCATAAACACTACATGTAACTCGAAACAAAGCCGAGGCCAAACGATAACACAAGCTAGTCAAAAGTAGCACGCGTTGCTCAACTGATGCATACAACACGTTTCATGAGCTTGGAAGGCCCCAAACGCCCAAAAACAAAAACCGAAATTTCTGTGTTTCGTAACCAGAGTGTTGAAGGCTCACATCATTCGTCCAAGAGATCGAATACGCTAGAGTAACTAGACAATGATCCGATATCAATGCACACTTCCCTACAAATGCCAGATGCCTCACCAACCATGATGCAATTGACGAAATACATCCAAGCCACTGAACATCTGTACCTCCTAAGTATGTGTGCATAGAAGCCAAGTTAGTATCGAAGGTGAATCCACCCATTTGACGACCGCCTCCATCCCCTCGTCCGCTCAAACTGAAATCAGTCACAGGCAAATTCAAATGAAAGATAAGTATCAATCACTGCTAGAAGTTTCGATATTTCCAGAGCGACTGTGCTAATACACTGCAGCCACCTACCGTGGTAGCATACGACATGCGGGTTTTAATTCTATGTCCAATAGGATCAGATATCTCGATGTCAGTCTTAAGAAATAGAACAAAAACCAATAGTGGTTTGCACCGGCTAAAACCATTGTTACGCTTGGTAGCATATTCATCGTAGTTCTTTGCCGTACCCCAATACTACGAGCCACTTCATCTCAGGCTTCTTCTAGAAAGCTTAAGAAATACAGGAACCTATTTATTCCGAAAAGAAGACCAATTGATCATCCATACTCTGAAAGATTGCCGACAACTAACATAATCAAATCAACTCAAGATAAAGTTGGACATATGTACACTGTTCATTGCACTTCCTCACCCGAGCCGCTGCAAGCAGCGAAAAATCATTAGATCCCGCAATACGCAGATTACGTGCTCCCAATCCAATGAAATTGACTCAGAGCTTAGACCGACGAAATAAAACTTGACCATGATTTCGCAAGAGTGTAGTAAGTAGCTTAAAAATTCTCCCACTTGAGGTTTCAGCATCAAACACTAGGAGTATATTCCTATCATGAATGATTGTAATTGAACCCCATATAATAATAAAAAAATAATAGCAAAATCGGAACCACCTAAGGATACTGTGAAAAAACAACGGCAGAAAAATTCGAATAGTAGCAATGCAGATTATGAACAGAGCGTGACTAATACATGTAAGTCCTAGAACTGCTCTAAAATATTGCTTCATTACAACGATACGCCAAATCCACTCGCTGTGAATTCGGAAAAATATTCACACCTGCAACATGACACAGACTTAGGCATTCACTTTCATCTAGTCAAGATCATGTCTTCAGAGACACAATCTTGATATCAGATCAGAATACCAATACCTTTCAGACCGACGTTCAATCTCTTCAGAACAAGAATTAGAAGCATTCATTCGAAGCAAAACGCCTGCCTACACTTAGGCAATTGAAATAACAGGATGTAATTCTCCATCATCACCATTAATTTATCCTCGAACTCCTTTAAACCACTCTTCCGCTGGTTCGCACGACTCATTGTGAGGAATACTCTGATGAAACACACTATCCCCTAAGGCAATACGGATTCAGATCAAGCTCTGAAGATGGAAATCGAAGAAGGAAATAAGCATTCGCAACTGCAAATTACCGCAAATTGCAGCTGAGAACGGCCAGGTCCTTTATACCTGCATGCGATCAAAACCAGAATGTACGAGACTAATAATATGATCTACACCATGGCACTACAATAAGGATGAACATTTGACATTTGCTGCCTGAGGAAGATGTTCATTGCAAATCGCAGCCGTTGAAGAGGATCGAGGCTTTTACAAACAATCCTAGCACACAAAATACTATCCATCGCAATTGGAACTCGATTAAGATTACAAACACTACGTATCTAGGCTTGTCACAAGGATGTCTCGAAGTGAGTCAAATCAAAGACGGGTGAAAAGAATGACAGATACCTTACAAACATACGAAATCCGTGTTAGGCACCAAACGGACTTCTTTTAGGATGGATTTTGCTAAAACAGAGCCCCAAACGGAATCATTTCAGTGTCTCTATAACACTCACTACTAAGGATTCTAGAATCGAGCTTCAATCCTCGAAAATGAGATGAACAAAACCACCAGTGCAGATCCTACGGACGACCTATTCCCCAAGAAGAGAAAGCTGTAAAGAATCAGCAATCAGAAACTCTGGGCGGAGGGGGGGGAGGGTGCGGCGGTAATGTGCATTCACTCCTCTCCAGTAGAGCGATAGAGATGAACTATATTGTACAGTAGCTACTTCGAAGCTAAAAGAGCGACGGGAGGATCACCATTTGAAACACAAAGCAAATTCGATCACTATATATCGTAACATGCGAGAAGGACAAAAGAAATGCTTCACAGAGGCCGGCAGCCACTCAGAACCAATAGGGGATGTATCAGGGGTACTGATGAGGGCAAAAACCTTGAATCATTGTCACTGAGGGAATGGCCAGCTTCAGAATCAGCCTCCTCTTCCTCTAATGGCTCCATATCCAGCTCACGAATTCTTTGCATCTGCAGAAGCTCATTGTGCGGCCCTTCATTTGTGCTGTCATCTTCCAAAGAGCTAGCTACTAAGACCTGAGAGTCCTCTACAGCTTCAATATCTCCTTCATCCATCCTGGTACTGCAAGAGCAAGGATAAATTTAAGCCTCTCCACTCTTGCCGTCCCTTGTTTCAACCGGAGGAGTTCTTAAAACTTTTCCACTGCTCCACATGTACCATCTCTGAACTTCTAAACTGTAATTTCCCTGCTGCCTTCAGTGACGTTAGGTCCAACTGTGGTCTCAATTTCAGGAAGTGAAATAAGACTTCCAAGTGCTGACGCAAGTCCGAGGGCTTTTACACTATGACCTTATCCCGCACAGAATAACTTCAACTGACTTCGTCAGATTGTAACCCTCCTACTCGTACCTATTATCGAAAGCAATGAAATGATGTAGAGAACACAAGATATGGAAGTAACATCAACTCCTACGCTCTCAGCATTGTAAAGACCACTATGCATCAATCACCATCTTGAGTCGCCCTCATTCACTACAACCTAGCTCCGCATTCACCTGCAACCTCAGTTCTTTGCTCCCTTGGAGAGACTCCCCTCTCAGATCTTCGATTCTCTTCTTCCCCACTCGACTCACCCTCATCCAACCTTGCCACACTCCTTCAAGGCTCATTCACGCACAGAAGCGGGGACCGAACAAGAAACGAGAACGAAAAGAAGCTTCGACCCGACCATGAATCGTGGGGGCAAATAAAATTTAAAATCGAAAAAGTCACAATGTCTTGTTGACCCACGCGCTGCCTCGCCTGGGCCCTACCCTCCCTCTCACCGACGCAAGACAGTATGATCACAACCCCCGCTCCACAAGCGCGCACACTGCCAACAACGATAATGATGATGAAGAACAAGAACAAGAACAAGAAGACGAAGAAACAAAACAAACATAAAACAAAAACAACAACACAATCAACGCAGCATCAGCATCACGCACCTCATATATTTCCTCTATCAACGAATTGACCCTTGCTCTTCTACCGGCCCGCCCTTACGATCCCGACTCCCTTCCATAATCAGCAACTCCTACCCGAAAAAACTATCCAGATAGAATCATGCCCAAGAAAAACCAAAAGCTCCGTTTCGCCGATTTATCCTCGAACTCCATCGCTAGTGCCTTGGCCGTCCTCGCCCCTGGTCCCCCGCACCAGCTTCGTTCCCCCATGGATTCATGTATATATGTTTTATACATATATATTAATATATATATATATATATATATATCCGTCATGACTCTCTCTTCTTTCTCCAACTCTGCATTCTCTCTCTGTTCGCCTCTATCCCCCTGGCTAAATTCAAATGGGCTACAGCTTTTCCTTCCGCCGAAGCAAACTCCAGAGCTAGCCCCCTCCCCCCCCCCTTCGGCAAATAAAACCGGGAGCGCTGGTGTTTTCGTCGTCCCCCTGCCAAGACGCCCCCACGCTCCCCTGCTCGAGAACGGTTCCCTTGCAAGGGATTTTCATGCTTCTCGATAAATTTACGAGTAAACAGAAAGGACCCCCAGGAGCATACAGGCCCCCGCTTAGGGGGCCGATAAAGGAAACAAACAACTTTAAAGGTGTCAAAACAACATTTGCAGCCCCCTCTGGGCCCATCATTGACTAGCGCCATGCATGCCATCCCTGTCATTAACTTTTTTCCATGCTGCCCGATTCGGGTTCAGTTCACACTTGCTCACTTGGAACCAATTTCCCAACACCCAAATAATTGTTGTAAGAACTGTTGTTGTTCGAAATTTATTGACTTTGTGTTGAAAATTTAAGCGTGTTGTATTAGTTTTCCATTGGTCTTGGTACATTTGATTAAACACTAACTTCTGTTTGAATTAGTATGGCTCCATTTTATGAATTTGAGATTCAAACTTGACTGAAATAAAACTTTGTATTATGAAGTTATATTATTATGTCATTGGTTAGTTCAGGAAAGATACTGAAAATGACCCATTTCATAATACATGTAGCTAGATGGACAGAACATTATAATGCTACCACAAGATTTTGTTGTCTGGTTGATTTGGCATGACAAGGTTGTGTTGAGTTCTTTGTCAAGGTGAAGTCTAAGATAACCCAGCATGATATATTTAAGACATCAGATGCTACACTGTGTGTGCATGATGGTTGCAAAAATGAAGTTGAAATTTAGTCACCATTGGACTTTTTAATCTTGTAATGCTTTTTGTTGTTCTGCTTATTATGGGTTGTTTCTTTACACATGCAATTTTTGTAGCCATGAAAATTTCCATTGACAAAATAATTCTGATTTGTAGCATTTGGATTGTGTCTGCAGCTGATATAATCTTTAGTTTGTTTGCGTAAATGCTTTTCCAAGTCTTAGATGCTAAATATGAAACTCAGAACTTGTACATGCTTCTATGAATTTATTTTTATTTTTATTTTTTTAGTTCTCCTTGAGATAATGATTTATTCCACAAAGTAAAAGAAAAAATAATTAAACTTACACAAAAGCATACTTTATTAGAAAGAAAAGGAGGAAAAAAGAAAAAGAAAAAGAAAAAAAAGCATTAGTCTGCAGCTCAAAGGATTCTGACTTCCTGAAATAATCAAAATTTCAATTGACATGAAGTAGTATTATACTGAATTTGGTTACACTAATTTGATAAGTTATAAATATATTTTTCATGATCTTTTGGGTAAAGTTTATATATGTAGTTGTATGTTGAACATGCTAAATATATATATGATATACCCACACATAGTTGCAGATTTAAATTTTAAGATCTTTCTACAATATCATTAATTTATTGTATTTTTTTTAATCTTTATGATTGTTATGAAATTTCCTAGAAACTTAAAATGATAGCAAGCAATTTTTTAAAGAGAACGTAATAAGAATGTGATAAAAAGAGGTTCTAACATTAGCATACGCAACAAGCCTTTCTATATACTTTATATTAGTAGCTTGTGAGACAAATCACTAAAAGCTTAGACAACAAGCATCCAGTCCAGCATCTGGTATATATTAAGTCAAACCAATGATGTGTTTTCAAACAAATTGCTCCATCTTGTAAATTACCACTATTGATGGTAATTTGTTTTATACCTTCCTATTTTATAACATGATTAATACATTTCTATATTGTGTTTTGATTTTTATGCTTAAAGTTTGATACACTTAACATCATCATGAATCTAATGTACCTGGAATACTTCTATAATTAATTTTTTGGTACCACCAATTTATGTTGTTGATGTTAATACAGAAAATACTATATATTGAGCATGAGGTATTTTTTTCATACATGTCTGTAAAAAGTAACAAATCAGTCTAATATTCTATAGTTAAATGTAACTTACTTTGTAATACTTGTGTATTACTACTATTATGGTGTATAATTGTCTCTACATGTTTTAAATCGTTATTAAGCTAATAGGTTGTTGCTAGACAAATACAATAAAAAATTCTAATATAGAAGTTTAGTATACATAAATTTATATATAACTGTAAAAGAAAGAATTGAGCATGACTATTTACACAACCCGAGTAAGTAGGAATACTATATATATACACATAAAACACAATATCAGAACATGCCATTTTGTTTCCTTTTCTTCTTTACAAAAACCAGTTAAACACTGTAATGTAACAAATGATCATTATTAAAGGATATATATATATATATATATATATTAAATAGTGCTTGTACACAGATAGATAATGCATGCAAACAAAGAATAGGGAAAATTTCTCATAAAAATATTATGTATAGATTTATACATTTATATGTAGGGTATTATTAATACCACCACAATTTGTCACTCACCATTTAACTTTTCAATTATTTTCATTAAAATTAAATTGAAAATCTATAAAATTCCATTCTTTGATTACTTTCAAATGTAATTTAAGATTTGAAGAAACGAAGACCAAAATGATTTGTTAAGTGGGTGCCACACAAACTCTCCCTCTCTCTCTTGATATATATCCACGTGCACACAACAATTTTAAATTTTATTTTAAAAAGAATATACAAGTAATAAAAAAAATTAAAAATAAAGAAAAAAAATACCTTGGAATGCTTTCAAGTAAAAGTTCAAATTCACTTCCATGTGCATTTTTATTTTTATTTTTTATTAAAGGCGGCACCTTGTGTGTAGATTTTAGGGGTAGCCTGCCATCACTCCGTCCGTCTATTTGTTCTAAACGGCATTCATCCATCCACTTCATCCTTCCGGTTCCCACGAACCGGCAGCCTTGACATGGCGCTGCAGGAAATGGGGGGGGGGAGTGCGATGGATGAACACGGCGAATGTACGAAGTATCTCTCGTGGATGATTTATCACTTTCTTCATCCATAAAATGCAAGTTTTCTTTTATTGTATATATATTTTTTGTTGTGAACTTTTTCTACTTTCTTACACTTGACTTCACTTCAAGTTTCAAAACTTGCACTCCCTTGGAAACATTTGTCATATACTCAATTTTGGACATGTGTGATGCATGATAACAGTTTTAAACTAGTAAACAGATTAACGGTGTTTTTATGTTTTAAAGTTTGCTTGTTTCTGTCAAGTGTGAACTTGCTAGTTTATAGTTTTGATTACTCAAATAGTATATTGACCAAACTGCCAATATTATAGAACAATTCGTCCTGTATTCGAAAAGGGTGGTGAAAATATGGCAAATGCATATTCTCAGTAAAGACGTTATTGTCTTCTATTTTTGTAGAATACTAAACTGTAAGAGTATGGATCATGCATCAAAGATTGTAGGAAAACGTGGCTACAACTTTTTTGTTCTATGGATCAAATTATCACAGCTTATGCTGCATCTCTCTCCGTATGTACGTAAATACGTACAAATTAGTTATTTAAAATTTCCATATATATATATATATATATATACATGCATATGATGATGATGATGATGATGACAATGCTAATAGCATGTTTAACCAATTGCAACCAGCTCATTGTATGTTGTTTGCATTCTAGATTAATAATCATTTACTACATTAATCACTGTGTCTTTGATGCTTAGTTATTTTTACTCAATACTTCAGAATCCACTTGCCATCTTATTTAAGACAGAGAGTGTGTTGTATGATTATTCATGCTGACATAAAAGTAATATCATCCCACTAGACCTTTATGGTATCATTGATATTACCACTTTTGCAATGGGGATTCCAACAATATTGATTGTAATTAATGAATTTTGAAAGAATATTACATCAACCATGTGAATTTTCTGTCTGTAAAGAACTGAATGTGTTCTTTTATTGGAAGCCCTGGCCGCCCAATGGATTTACAAGCCTCAATACTTTCCAGTGTTAACTTGAATTTAACAGAGTCAAATAGAATCAATGAAGAACAAAATAAATGGCAGTCTTAGAGTACATTTATATTAGTGGCCTTTGGCACATCAAGTGGTCATATTTTAGGATGTATTTAGCTCACTGATTTAAAAAAACACAGCCTTCTACACCAAGTAATGCCAACTTTTTGATACACATGCTTGTTGTTTATAGTATGATAATAGCAACACTGTTGCAATCTACACTTATAAATATACGAATAATAATTCTGCCCATCAGTTTGACCCTCGTGAACGACATGCACGTGTAAATGAACACATTCAACACGGAATGAAACCTCCAAAACACAAAAACCTTCTGCCATACACGTGAAATCAAAATTCAACAACACTCCTAGAAAACACGTAACAAATCAGTGAACAATATATTTTGTTTACACAGTTATTTAAGCTATTGATTCATTTATTCAACAGTAGAAACGTATATTTCCGAACATGCAAACTTACACATATACGATTAATTTCAGTTTGATTTTGTAGAGTTGGGGAGAAGAGTGGGATAGAATCGGACATCCGATATTCGAATCGGAACACCACCCTGCGCGACGTCCGCGCCTTCGCATCCCAGCGGCTCATTCCCACCATCGCCGCTACGGCAGCAGCAACAGCAACAGCAACAGCAGCAGAGTTGGATGGATGCTTCAGCGTCCGGGAATGGTGGTGGTGGCGTTTCCGTGGGAGGCAAAACAAGAACAATCCCCTTTGTATGTCACTGGCTTCTTGAGCAGGGATGGAGATTCCAATCGGGCGCACTTTCCTCGGGACAGCAAAGCTGCTGGATTCGGAGCTTGCTCGGATCCAGTAGGTAGAGAAAAGGGGGTCCCTTCGTTTTCCTCGTCCTCGTATTTCTGGTGGTGGTGCAGCTGCTGCATAATGTATTGCAGCCGTGGTGGTGGTATGACCTGTGGAGTCTGCTGGAAGGCATCCTTGTGACTGTGGCGGCCACTCAATCAGACCAAATGCCAGGATCAGTGGGGGAGGTGGAGGACGAAGACCTGGTCTGCTTGCGATGAATGACGCAATGCGAGAAACTCTTGAGGGGCTACGAGATACCAATAATGGTGGACCGAGTGCGGCCTTCGGAGCCATTGTTGGGCCAAGCTTCTTTATTGTTTCTCTCCTTTATTTGATCTCTTTTTTTCTTTTTTTCTTCTTTTTTGTTTGTTTTCCCCGAGTTTTCCTTTTCCTTGTGCTTGTGCAGGTGCTGCCTATTTGTTTCCACCCGTGTTCGATGGATGCTTCCAGAATCTCTTTCTTTAAATGCTCCTCCCTCACTGTGTTCTTCGCTGGTTTTCTTGCATTCCAATCCACTACAGTTCCAAGTGTCTCTGTTGACCTTTACAATTCCATTACAAAAATCATAGACAACTTTCGTTTTAAAAATGCTTAAAAATATCATTCAATAGATTCAGGAAAGATTTCGATATTTGGTGTGATGATTACACAGTCATATTTCCATTGAAAAATGGAGCAACATTATTTATTACTCGTTTTCTCTTCTTTATTAATACACACACCAAGATACACACCCCAGGGATTTTTTTTTTAGATTGAGACAAATGCAACCATGTCCTCATTAAGGTTGTAAAATCTGAATCAACAATTTTCATACCGAGATGAACAACAGTCTTATCGGTAGACAAGAAAACCCGTATGCCTTTATGAAGGGATTCTCTATAGTACACTATACTATATATGTACACACACACATACACAAGGGTGTTTCCAAGTGGTAGAAATGTCTGGAGAAAAACGGGCAGTGGGACCCGTGCCCTAGGCCACCTGGGCAGTCACGAAATCGTCCGGGAGGCGGGAAACAGGGATCCTTGGGGGTGAGGTGACCTCGGAATGAACGCCATGTCAGACTCTGTCCCACTCCCCGCGGGCAGTGTGAGCTGGACGTGCCAGCTCTTCCCGCGTGAACGAGACGCCACGTGGAGGAATCCCGATTGGCCAGGCTCCTCGCCCCATGCTGATGCCATGCTGTCCAGTTCCGTCCTGAAAAGCCCATCCTGCGCCTCTCCCTCACAGTTTGGAATGGATCCTGACCTTCCGATGGCGTCCCTTCCCTGCTGCTGCACCAGGTCCCCCTCCCGTCCCGTCTCCCCCGATCCGGCCTTCCCAAAGGATCGTCGTCGGTTATGTTTCAGTTCATCCCCTGACGTTCTGATTCAAAATCTGGATAGTTTAATGTAACATGTTTTTTATATGGAATCGTCAATTAATTACTGCACAGACATATGTTTGCAAATAATAAATAATAATTAAATTCTGTGATAATCGGTGATTGAGCCGTCTTTTTTCTTTTCTTTTCTTTTTTCGCTCTCAGAAAATTATAGTGCTAACAGTTTTAATATAGTTATAGTTGTGGCAATTTTATTTTTATTGAACGTTCTTCTTATGAATCTTGTGGATTTGGATGATAATGAAAATCACAGAGGTCTTAGGTAAATATATATATATATATATATATATATATATGCAAATAGATTGCATGCATTTTTGTTTAGTAAACTTCACCCAATAGTTGTTATTGTTACCATCAGCATTACTTTCAAAATGTTCGATACTTTTAATTTCGCAAAACTGGTTGTTGAACTATGTACACAGTACTCTTAGTTTGATTTATATTTAACTAGAAATGCGAGGTTGGGTATAAAATTAAAAAAAAAGTAACATTTAAAATTTTTAACACTGGAATAAATCGAATATCAGCAGTGGATCAAATTTGACAAGGCTTTTATATATATATATATATATATATATGATGATCCTTACAATGAATGATTTTTAGGAAGATAGTGTAAGAGATTCACTTACTTTAATCTATAATTAACGAGGCATTGTCTTTTGTACTTTAGCTTCCAAATTAGTAGAAAAAATTGTTCCTGTTAAGACAATCTCTTCTCTCTCACTTCTATTTGGTGCACAATTTTCTACTCTAAACTTAAAAATAGTTTAAAGCTTTCCATGAGAAGAATGATCAAGATTCAAGTGAATAGTTGTGAACTTCTTTACATACCGTTTCATGTCTATAGTTATATCAACACTTGAAAACAATGTAAAAAAAGAAGACAAAAGCGTATATTTAGGAATCATTATAATTTAAGCAGGTTAGGAAATTCTACTAAAACTTCATTATACAATATGTTTCATACATTCTATTTTTTAAAATAAAGTATAATATTAGAGAAGCTTCAAGAACTTTTTGAAAAATGATATAAATTGTGCAAGTTGATTAAATCAAATTACAATTTAGACCTAATTGTTTACTTGTGTTTTAGAAAATTGGCTAATGATAAATTTGGGTTTAAAATTACTCTTCCATTGTTTGGGGTATATTAAACTAGTACTAATAATATTAAATAATGATATTAAGTTATTCTTGAAAAATACCCAAGAGATGGTGTAATGTAAAATATTTTCTTTTATTTTTTTTCAAATTTATGGAACAGATTAATTTGAAATGCCAAATAATTTTTTTATATTCTATCCAGGTGACATTTTTCAGCAACAAACCAACACCATCCAAAACAACCATAAGCATTAGATACATTTTATTCAATGTATTAAATTTTTTCCGAATCAATACATGTGTCTATACACCCAAGGTGGTTTTTAGATCCAAGAACAGTGAATTTAATGACTGGTAGCAGATGCAACTATTTGATGTACAAAATGCTTCTATTTGAGGAATTTTTGCACATTGGTTTGACATGTAAATGTCATCACATTTTCCAAGAACATCTATCCATGAATTTTGTGCTATGGTTATTTCTAAACATCTAATAATGAATAGTTTGATAATCTGCATTTACGTCCTATTTTAAGGAAAAACCAACAATAATACAAATTGACAAATAGAGAGAATGAAATATTAGCCAAACAATTTAGTCTTTGAAAACATAACATGAATCTTGTATGTAAGCACATTCTATATTAATTCTCACTTGAAGGAAAAAAGAAAAATATGTTTAACATTAACACCTTGAATTGCAAGCATGAAAAAATAATTTATAATAAGAAACAATATAGTCACATAAACAAATAACCAAACAAATAGATTGATACAAGACATTATAAGAAAGTGCATTTTGTATTACTAGTACTTGAATTAGATTCAACTTGTCAAGAAGCTAATAACACAACACAAGCAAAAACTCCGTTTTTTCCCCCACACGTTAACACACAGGTATCACTTTATTTTTGCAAGAAATTATCTCAAAATGTAGAGAAAAAACACACCCCATTCACACAAATCCAAAATGGAAATCTACTTAATCCATACAGTCTAGATAGAATTTAGGGTTTGTGCAGATAATGGGTGCGGAGAGGGGGGGGGGTCTCAAGATAAGAATGCCTTGGGAGAAGGGAAGGCTGTGGGTGTATTAGGAGCCCAAGGATCTTCCCTCATTGTCGTTGTTGTTTTTGTTGTTTTTGTTGTTGGTATTGATGTTGCTGCTGCTGATTTGTTGCACTTCTCAGTAGGGTTTTTGGGTTCCCCAATACTTCCCTTTATTCTCTGTTGTTGTGGTTTTTCCTATTTGTTTTTTCTGTTTGTTGTGCTTCTTTTTATGTTCACCCTTTTGCAACTTCCAGTACTCTCTGGAGATGCAACCCATGGAGGCTATCTGAGTGCAGCCGGAGCCTGGGAATAGAGCATTGGGAGACAAAAGGCTGTGTCTGTCTAGTGAGAATGTGCTGGAGGTGGTGGTGGTAGTGATGGTGGTTGTGGGAGAAGGCACCCGGGTGGACCCAGATGGGGTGATAAGCTTGACCTAATGATCGATGGACGGACAGACGGACAGCCGGGATGCTTTTTTGCCTCGCTTCGCATCTTTTTTATCAGTTCTCCGATTACTGTCATGGTTATTTTTACTTAGGTTCTTTTATTGTTTTTTTTTGTGTACGAATTTAGGGCATTGTACGAAGGGAAAATAATAGAAACGAACCCACATTGCAGTCTGTGTGTGTGTGTGTGTAAGTCCTGTTCCATGCCACACCTTGCAACCAGGTACTGGAATTTCCCAGCTTGAAATATAGTCTCTCACAAATTCATTAGACTTCAGGATTTCAAAACAAGGAGGAAACAAAGTATCGATGGGCATTTATACCAAGGCTTCACCAAGGATTTCACACAACCGGAATAATGTTGTTAGTCAAGCACATGGGCATTCACCAAGATGCCTATCCAACAAGTACTTTCAAACTGGTACTCCTGTCATGATAATCTTCCTCAAATCATGTGATTTTCACGGAACTGATTATTTGCGTGAGGTCTGCTAAGTTATGGGTACAGACGGCAAAATATAGCGCAGCCCTGTGTCTGATCCTAGGAGCTTTTGATTGCGTGTGTGGATCATTAAAGGTGACTCATTGCAGAGCAGAACTCTTAATGTGTGCTTGTGTGTGTATGTGTATGTATGCATTAGAGCGCTACTTCTTGTACATGAAAGGAATACCACCGCCCTTAAGGGTCATCTTGGGTAACCTGTGACAGAGAGCAGTGATTGCATGGTGTTGAGAAAGTCGGGTTCGTCACAAAAAGCAGTGCGTATGTTTTCATGAGATAAACTGCCCTTGCATCTAGAATATCAGCGTCGTTCTGGTGTCCAATTCCCAGCACTAGCAATGGCTGTTACAAAGAATCAATGATCCCTAGCAAACAAGAATCACAATCCCCCGAAATGATGATGGAAGACAAAAAAGATTCGTGTCTGGTTGTTGCTCTATATAGCATGCGAGCGAATAAGTGTAAAGACATTGAATCATTTCGTAGATGCATGCTTGTGCTTGAATGCCCTGCAGGCCCAAGTCTCTATAGTGTATACCAGCCGGGGATTAGAATGTTGCTACCAGATACTGGTGTTGTAAAAACGCTTCCATTTCGAATAGAGTATTCGGAAAACCTAAACCATGTATCAAACTGAAGTTTCGCGCCAAACCGTCAGCAGAACACATTCCTGAGTGTAGTTCTCAAGAATATTGATTCCTAATGCTTGTAAAGGTACGACATACAGATGTCGCAGAACTTGTCGATGGATGTGATCGGCAGCCCTAATGCAGCTTCATGGGCTGCAGGCACACAACAATCTCAGTTTCATGCTTTTTTGATGGACTTCCGAAGCTCCGTTATCATCCAGTCGAACTGTGTATTCCTCGAAGGTTTGTGGTACGTCTCGAATCCTCCAAGATGTTCTTGACTTGCCGGTGATCGATTCGTCACGTGCAGACTAGATCTCTGCCCTGTTGGCGACTGATTCGCAATCGAGGAGTAGAGGACGAGTAGAGTACAGATCAACGAAGGACAAAATTTACACTGTAGCTCGCTCCAAGACCTTTACACCATGAGTGTAGGAGAATATTTGATAATCATGTTTTAATCCTGCATGTTTTTATTGCCAAATGCAGTCAAACGCAAAAAGTAGGTTTGAAACTACCAGTGTATCAAATGAATTTCCAAACTACCTGTCAATTTTGCTACTAAATTGTAGTTTACTACAGAATACCTTCCTTTCCCTCGAGAGTGTACTATTCCTCGCCCCTGATTGTGAAGTTCCCTTACAAAGTTTTCCTCCCCGGCCTGTACATCACACGTATTGCATTGATCACACTTACAGTACATTAATGCTTTTGTTACGATTAATCAGAAGTTCAGCAGGCGCTTGTCGCCAAAACCGACACCATCAACCTGACTGCAGCCACGTTAAAATTGCACCAATGAGGTCATCGCAATTGTCTTGGATCTTCTGGAGCTCAAAATCCTGCAAGGGCATCTGACCAGGGAGGTGGAGACATACCGAGCCGATTTCGCTACCCACAACTAACTTGATGCAGCAAGTCACTCGCATGCGTAATAAGCCTTTTTCCCACACCAATTAGTATGCACACAACAGTCTGATCAGAGCATGTTCTCTTCCCCCTCGAGGTAAGTGAACAGCACAAAGGCACCAACTCTGTCGCCGACTTAGCTCGCATTTACCACGCCGACATGTCTGTTACTTCATCAACCTGATCAAACCCGGCCCGTTTGAAGTGCGCTTCAAAACATGCCGAGACAGATTCTTCCATGGACGGGGTTCCTCAATGCTACAGTGGGACAACTCCATTTTCCACCAGACCACCATAAAATGTGCTCGGACCGTTCACAAACGGTGACCCAGTTCCCGAAACGATGTGGACTTGGCAGCATGTATGAGCCTCGGGTCTGTGCATGATTGGAGCACATGAAGACTGATCTACTTTCTAACTGTGCGCAGTGGATCCTCGTCGCGGAGGTTTCTGTGCTCACGAACCAGTTTGCAGATCAGATTGTCTGATTCAGAGGACGGAGTCTATCTTCGCTGGATCTCCCGCATTCTGCGAAGCGATCTCAAGAGAAGAATGCGTCACTCTCCATCGGGAAGAATGCCGTTGGTTTTGTCGACATTGAGCGGAGTGCGCGGAGATCAGATTCCTTTTGCTACCGGGCAGTGTCCTCATTTATCATATTTGATGAAAACCGTGACATAGTGTTGCAAAACAATGTCGAATCCAGGGACCTTCAGCGTCTACAACTGCACAGGCAAATCTATTCTCGGCATGGGTTCAGTTTGTCTGCACTCGAGGTGCAGCATCTTCAAGTGACAGCGATTGTTCCCACTTTGTTGTGGTGTGAAAGTTTTGTTTATCGTTTTTCAGTCTCTGATAGCAAACCAAGAAAGGTTTGAAGAATAAGCTGTTTGTGCTTTTCGAAACCCTGGCCCACATTTTTATTTGTTTATTGCATTTGGAAATGTGTGGGTTTTTGTTAGGTGAAAAGTGCCGGTTTTGAATCAAACTGCCAATATTCTTAGTGCAAATTGTGAATAGTTCTGGCTGCTGTCTGTGGTAGTTTAAGCTCATCTCTGATTTAATCTTTTCCTCTACTTTGACATTGGAAGTCAAAGACACCTCATCTAAAACTATAAATTTTTGTTTCCTCAACTAATGGATTACATGTTCAATCACTATTATTCAAATTATTATTAGGATGATGATTATTTCAAAATAAGATCCACGTATTTTACTGTACGTTGTTGTTACACATTTTCAATTAATTTTCATTATGTGTCGATTGAGTTAACTTTTTTTGAATCAATTATAGTGAATTTTACTCCTCTATCAAATAATAGATTGAAAATTTATTTCTTTTGTTTTTAAGTTTTAATTAGTAATGGAACTTTGATAATGTCACCTTGAAATCTCACGTTTGGCGGTTAACTCCTACAAAATATTTGATTCGATTTTATGAAAATAATTAATTTCATTTATATATTTGGTAGGATAAGAATTAAGTGTTCTGAAAAAACTCTAATTTTTCCACTGCATTAAAAACTCTTTTTTTGTCTTAAATTATTATATGCATGTTTCACTTTGCATTTATAAAATATGTATAAATTTGAAGCTTTGGGATGCCATTTTTAAATAAATAAATTCCAAAAATTTAAAAATAAATTTCATGCAACCAAATTAACAAACCTATTTCATGAAATAGTGTACATTTGTGCAATTCATAGATGAAAAATTTACAGATTTATTTTGAGGTAACTTACACTGACAATACACCCAACTTTTCAAAAACCATTCATAAATTTACACTGCAAAAAATCTGATTTTAATCTACTTTTGAAAGAAATTCTAATAGAAAAGAACATATTACCCTTCTTTCTTAAATCCACGAGCCAAATTAGCTTCACAATATTCTTTCACTTTTATTTAAAAACACACACACAAAAATGACTCTCATAGACACTGCAATAGACATGTGTAACAGACACTGATGTTTGCAAGTATGTCCTCCAATTTCCACTGCTGCAAACTGTTTCTCAAATCAAAACAGTTACGCCACATCACATTCAATAGTTAGAATACATGAAATGTGCTCTTAATCGCCATCTTTGTTATTGTTATTGTTGTTATTTTTGGAATTGTCCCTATTTGACCTGGTTGCAGAAATTCTATGCATGGAGCCACTGATCGATGCAACGCCAGCGTGACAGATTTTTGGGTACTAGCCAGATTCCTGGAACAGAAACCATCCTCACTCTGACTGCAGGTTCTAGATATGAACTGGTTTTGTTGCATGCAGAATGGAAGCAACGCCCGGGCAGCACATGAGCTGAGAATATGGAGGCTGCGGTGGTGGATCGACATTCGGAGACGGTTCAGACAGTTCTCTAAACACAAGAATTTGTGATAATCGGCTCGCTGATGTGCAGGTTAGCAAGGCAGATCCTTGGACCGCCAGATTCTCCGTCGGCGTCCTTGACTGGTGTGGCACGCCATCCAACCTCTACTTGTGAGGTGCCAGAGAAAGCCGTGACTTGTCTGTCCTACAAGGTTCATGTTGAACGGCAAACAGCGCCGTTGTCCTGGATGGTTGAGTCTGAGAACCTTCAAGCGTCTGGTGTTATTCATGGTCTGCGAGATGTTGAACCTGTTGCGTGTGTCGCTTGAGTTACTTGGACTCGGGGATGCGTGTGAAGGCGTTTTCTAGTACTTCCCCTGGCGTACACGAAGATATGGCTCAGAAACTGTCAGAAGAAGCATGTGTTGACGGCCAATCGGCACGAAACGGAGTGAAGAGCTATCTGGAGTGCTGAGGGTACACACCCCCGTACCTTAAGAGCGAGTGAAGAGATTTCACCTTCGAAATTATGCGTTGGAGGAATAGATATTGTTTCTCGTTTTCTCTTGTTGCTCGAGCATGTGAGATTGATCCAGTTCTGTGTTGCCTTCTACCAAAAATAAGCCCAATATGTCGCCTGCAAGTTTGTCGACGTAGCAACAGCGATTCCACTTGTTTCAGTGGAAGAATGGACACGCCTGCGGCGAAGCTCACAGTTGCTCAGAGTTGGAGATTTGAAGGAGATGAAACTGGTGCAAGTTGAAAGTTTGTGAGAAAACTGATAAGGAGCTTGGAAAATTCGATTACAGTTCGGATTGCTGCCCAGGCATGTCGTCTAGAATTCCAGACGCCGAAGCATTTTGCCCAACTTCCTCACAATGCAAAGGCGCAAAAATCCCATCGACAGATTAGTCTCAGATTCAATTCATTGTGTCTTGTCCACCTTCTACACATGATGCTAAACTTCCTCTTGCAAAATTGTAATCAACGAAAAATCATGCTCAAAGCGACATGAAACCAAGCAATCGTGACCTTACACCTTGTGCGGCACTTTGAAGGACTCAGGCACTGAAGACTGCGAACCGCACGAAGATTGTGATAGAGATTGAAAGAATTGAAGGTGAGAGAGATGGAACTGAAGTGGAAAAATAAAGGTCGTAGAAATGAGAGAAGATAGATCCCTGTGACCTTCAACCATGTGGGGATCAAATTTAGTCAAAATCAAATCCTTACCACCTGTTTTATACTTGTTCAGAAGATGCTCACTGGATGTCATGACGGTATACCTGCAGTGAATGGAAATGCTAAGGATAATCTTTCACTTCTTGAAATCGCATGCCAAGGATAAGGCTCACAAACAGAATTAATGAATTGAAGTTTCTTGTCATCTTTGCATCTCGGTCTTTGAAACTTGAATCGGTTACTCAAAGAGTAATACTAATTAAACAAGGATTAGCTCAGAGAGCAATTTGTAGAATGAGTAAAATTAGAATTACCACTAACTTGAGAGGGTTTTTGCAGTTCATTGAGACGCCTAACTTTTGTCATACCTTAAACTCATTCACAGGGTTTTAAAGACCTGGTTGCATATATCAAGGGCGTAGCAACTAACAGAAAAATGGTTGGGACATTTGCGGAAACTTCGAAACCTCTTTCCTGTTTATAACAACTTCTTTCCTCTTTTCTGCTCGGAAAGTATTTAGCGAAGCTTTAATCACAACTAGATAGTGAATTTCCCACTTGGAATGTTATCAAGTGTCATTAATCCTCTGATTTGTGCCTC